CGAGTGAAATCTTTCACCCCACAGACAACGGCAGCAGCTCAAAGGCCCTAGCAGACCAACAAGGAAGAAAGGCATAGGCAGCATCCCCTTGTGGATGTTACTTTAACACGTTACCTTTGTTGGGGTGTGGGGAGCAGAAGGTGGTCTCTCTGACACAAACCACTCAGGACACATACAAACGCATCTGTGTCCAGCTAAAAGGCCAAGCACAGCTTTACACCCCCCTTCCCACCTCCAATTTCATGAAATGACAAGAAATAATAAACAATTTTAAAAGGATTATTTCTGGGTTTGCAATTGTTTTCCTAAGTTCTAAGTTTATGGAAGTTTGATGTTCAGCTATGAGTGATATTCTAAATCATTGATTTTCAACTGGTATGCCACAGGAATTTTTAAAACATGCGATACCTGACTATTTAGTCAGGAGCACTAACCTCTTTTCCCTTAAATTGTCAAATAAAAAAAAAAAACATAGGCCAACACAACAACAGCCATCCAGTGTGAATGAATCAAAATATATCTCTCTTTTTTTGTCAGATTGACAAAAAAAAACATTTTTTGGTATGCTGCAGAATTTGAGTAATTAGTTTATATGTTCCATGAGCTGAAAATCACTCTTCTAAATAAATTATATACAAGTTAATAAGAGAAACACTCAATAACACAATTCCAAATATAATAAGAAGGAATAGAGATACATCCACCAACATCTTATCTCTGAAACCAATTGAATTAATTTACCACAAGAAAAATAAAAAAAGATTTATAAATTCCATTTTGAATGAAAATGGAGAGAACTTACAATCCCAAATAATACTTTTCCTTTTTAAAAAAATTTTTTTATTGATTTCAGAGAGGAAGGGAGAGGAAGGGAGAAATAGAAACATCAATGATGAGAGAGAATCATTGATTGGCCACCTCCTGCATACCCCACACTGGGGATGAAGCCTGCAACCCTGGCATGTGCCCTGACTGGGAATCAGACCATGACCTCCTGGGTCATAGGTTAATTATCAACCACTGAGCCACTTCTGTCAAGTCCAGTGAAACTGGAACCAAATTGAGGGAAGATGCTGACACAGTGTCCCATGATGACAGCTCATGGGCAGAGCAGACAAATACAACTTCTCTAAAGTGCATGATATACTCAGAGGAACAAAATCAAAGACACCTTGTTTGTAACTAGATCCACCACATGTATGAGACTGCTCCTGAGAAAGAGAACTGAGCACCTAGAAAAGAAAAGCAGAATTAAAGACATAGTTAAAGTGTTCCTGAAAAATAAAAGAAAATTTCAATCTGGCTGGGGTAAGGGGAAAATGGGGAGTTGTTTGATGGATGAAGTGTTTCAGTTTTGCAAGTTGAAAAAAGTTCTGGAGATTGGTTGTGCAACAACATAAATGTACTTAACACTATTGAACTGTACACTTAAAAAACATTAAGATGGGCCCAGCCGGTGTGGCTCAGTGGCTGAGCATTGACCTATGAGCCAGGAGGTTGCAGTTCGTTTCCCGGTCACATGCATGGGTTGAGGGCTTGAGCTCAGTGGGGGGTGTGCAGGAAGTAGCCAGTCAGTAATCCTCTCTCATCATTGATGTTTCTATCTCTCTCCCTCTCCCTTCCTCTCTGAAATTAAAAAAAATATGTATTATTTTTTAATGTCTAAAAAAACAAACAATTAAACTGGAAACAAATAAAAATGAACACACAACAACCCCAAATCTCTGGGACACAGCAAAAGCAGTCCTGAGAGGGAAGTTCATAGCACTACAGGCCTACCTCAAAAAACACAAGAAAAATTAACAATAAACTACTTAACCCTACAACTTAAAGAATTACAAAGAGAACAACAAGAAAAGCCCAGAGTAAGTAGAAGAAAGAAAATAATAAAGATTAGAGCAGAAATAAATGACATGGAGACTAAAAAAACAATACAAAAGGCAATGAAACCAAGAGCTGGTTCTTTGAAAAGATAAACAAGATTGATGAACCATTAGCCAGGCTCATCAAGAAACAAAGAGAGAGGACCCAAATAAATAAAGTCAGAAACTAAAATGGAGAAGTAACAACTGACACCACAGAAATACAAAAGGTTGTAAGAAAATACTATGAACAAGTATATGCCAACAAGCTGGACAATATGGATGAAATGGACAAATTCCTAGAAAAATACATTTTTCTAAAACTGAATCAGGAGGAATCAGAAAACCTGAATAGGCCAATAAAACTAATGAAATTAAGGCAGTAATCAAAAAAGCTCCAGCAAACAAAAGCCTGCGTCTGGACAGCTTCACAGGGGAGTTTTATCAAACCTTCAAAGAACAACTAACACAATATCCTCCTCAAACGATTCTAAAAAATCCAAGAGGAAAAAACACTTCCAAGCTCCTTTAATGAGGCCAGCATTATCCTCATTCCAAAACCAGATAAAGACACTTCAAAAAAAAAGAGAATTACAGGCCAATATCCCTGATGAACAGACGCTAAAACCCTCAACAAAATATCAGCAAATCAGATCCAGAAATATATTGAAAAGATCATATACACCATGACCAAGTAGGATTCATTCCAGGGATGCAAGGCTGGTACAATATTCACAAATCAATAACGTGATACATCACATAAACAAACTGAAAGGCGAAAATCACATGATCATATCAATAGACGCAGAAAAAGCATTCGACAAAATCAAACACCCATTTTTATAAAAACTCTCAGCAAAGTGGGAATAGAGGGAGCATATCTCAACATGATAAAGGCCATATATGACAAACCTACAGCCAACATCATACTCAATGGGCAAAAACTAAAACTATTTTCCCTAAGAACAGGAACAAGACAGGGATGTTCACTTTCACCACTCTTATTCAACATAGTACTGGAAGTCGCAGCCACAGCAATCAGACAAGAAGAATTAAAAGTCATCCAAATTGGAAAGAAGGAAGTAACTCTCATTATTCGCAGATGAGAATTTTCTATATTGTACATAGAAAATCCTAAAGACTCCACCAAAAAACTACTAGATTTAATAAATGAAATTGGCAATGTAGCAGGATACAAAAACAACACCCAAAAATCTATGGTTGTTTTATACACCAATAATGAATTCTCAGAAAGACAAATTAAACAACCCCATTTACCATTGCAACAAAAAAATTAAGATACTTAGGAATAAACTTAACCAAGGAGGTAAAAGACTTATAATCAGAAGCAAAATCAAAGGACAAAGAAAATTATAAATCACTGTAACTGCTTTAATATTAAAATATTTATTTTTCTAAAAGATCACACAAAAGTTGGGAAGAGAAAGAGGATGTCAACTAGTCTACATCGAAGTCCAGGCTGATGGAGGACAAAGAGCTGCCTAAGGAAATGTAGCTGGAGTCAAGGGCAGAGCTGGAGCTGGTGGCCGGCCTGAGCCCGGCAGCCTGGGGCAGCCACGCTCGCCGGCACCACCAAGTGCAGAGGGGGGCAGCCACGCTGCTGGCCCCATCGTTCCTCCTTTCCAGAAAGGGAGAGAGCGGGCGCTCACTCTTTAGACATGTTCTTGATGGTCTTGTGCTCCTTCATGGCTTTCTCCCAATCGCTGCCATTGAATTCCTCGATGACCATACTCCGCACAGTGCCCTCATCCAGACAGTGTGGGGCGATTCCTGGGGGGAGTGGCACAGAGAAAGGGGTCCCCAGTATGAGTGAGACCAGGTGCTCTACTGGCTCTTGGACAAACCCACACCTGCGAGCATCCCTGGGCTGCATGTGAGCCTACAGGGTCCTGCTTACTTTGTTCGTCTCTGAGACGGGGATCAGCCTTCCTCAGCCAGGGAGGCCACGGCTGGCCATCCGTCAGGACCGGCTGAGTACAGAGCAGAACGGCTCCGCCTGGACCCATCTCTGACCGACAGTCTGCAGAATTCACAGGCCTTTTCTGGCCGAGCCAGGTGGCTTCTAAGCATTAAATGCCACCCCATCTGCACAGGAGCTGACACTGTCCAAAGCCTTCCTGTGCTTCGCGGTAGGAAAAAGGCGCCACCATGTGACACACGGGAACGAGCAGCAGCTGCTCTGAGAAATGCGCAGAACAGCGAGGTGGTGCCATGCCCTCCCCACCGCGAGGCAAGGACACGGCCCAGCTGCCCCCAGTCCTGGAAGCTGCGCCTCCACGGGAACGAGATCCCTCAGGGACGTCCCCACCGCTGCTTCAATTCACATGGCAAGTGGCGTCATTCTGAACAACCGTCTAAAGGCTGTTTCTGCCTCCAGATCAAGTAGGACCGGAAGAGGGACTTTGGGGGCTTCTCCTGTTTCTGTTTTGAACCAAAAAGTTTGAAGGGCATTATCAATGCTCTTCCATCTTGCTTCCTTATCCCTTTAACCACCATTGTTACCCCCCTTCCCACAGGCCCCCGATCTCTCCCCTGCTCGCTGTCTCTCAGTGCCAGCCCCGTGAGGCAGCTCTGGCAGCACCAGGATGAGGTCGGGACGGGGCTGGCATCTGACTGAGCAGAGCCAGGCTTCCGTCCCATCGTCTGTTCCTCTGAAACAGGCCTGCGGAAGGGTCTCGCCACGCAGGGGCAAGCCGAGCACGCAGTGCCCACCTTGCTAACCAGATTTTCCCAGAGCAGCCCAGTGACTGGTGTCCCCAGAGCTGTGCCGTTCTCATTACTCACCAAAGCCCCCGGGGTTGGAGCGGGGGGTGTAGAAACTCTGGACCCCACATCTCTTGCAGAAGGTATGCTGCGCCTTGTGAGTGTTGAACGTGTACGTGGTGATGCTCTCCGCTCCCTAAGGGAAAACAGACAGACAGGTGTCCCCTTCTACAAAGAGATGTTATTTCTCACTTAAAAAATCTGTCTTCGAAAAGGCTCAACGGGTTAGGGAGCCCCTCTGCAGGGCCCTCGGGATGATGAGGACACGTCCGATCCCCCAGGGAACCACCTGCACAGCCAGGAGACTCGTGTAGATGGGCCTGTTCTGGAGAAAGGACAGCTCATGCCTTCTCGCAGGTCAACTGCACACAGAGCAACTCAGCCTCACAGTGTCCCTGTTCACGGCCAGACAGCCCTGTCGACATGGGGGTGGGGGTGTGGGGGCGGGAAAACGCCTGCTTTCCAGGCCCGAGTGAGTAGACAGCCCGCACTAGGGACTGGCTCTCCATGTCCCCAAACAGCCCTGCTGAAGGTCTTGAGAAAACAGTTGACTGCAGTTGCGAAAAACAAACTAAGAAAAGAGTATTTGCCAGACATCAGAGACAAAAGACTAATTTCCCAAATGGATAATAACAAATGAGAAATTGGACAAAGAACATGAACAAACAGTGACAAGAAAAAACAGGCCTGGCGGATAGCTCCGTTGGTTAGAGCATCGACCAAAAATGCAAGGTTGAGGGTTTGATACCCAGTCAGGGCACCTACAAGAATCAACCAAAGACTTCATAAATAAATGGAACAAGAAGTTGATGTTTCTCTCCCCCCGCTTCTCTCTCTCTAATCAATAAATAAAAATTAAGAAAAAATAAACAAATAGGTCTTTAACCTGTGAAATGATGTTTACACTCATGAACTGCGATGAGATATTTTTCACTGTCAGGTGGGCAAAATATAAAAGTAGTTTAACACAGTACTGAGGCGATGTGGAGGAACATCACTCAATGGGCCAGTTGTGAGAATATACACTGATAAGTTCTGACATCAAAATTTTAAATGAACAATCCTTTGACACAGCAACTCCACGTCTGGAAATGTATCCCACAATTAGAATCCCATGTTTCCAATGACACATGTACATGGATATTACAGCACTGTCTGTACAGGCTGAAGACTGGACAAACTGAAAATGTCCAACAGAAGACTAGTTAAAGCAACTATGGACACATAAAATGGAATCCTCTGCAACTTTCCGAAAGTTACAAATACTAATACGGAATCTTCTCTAAGGTCACAAAGTTAGTGAAAAGGCAAAGCGTATTACAATGTGTGTACTAGACACTATTCCTATTTTTTTAAAAGGATATACATACTTGTGCCACTGTGTGTGTCGGGGGGAGTGTGGGTGTGGGTTGGGGTGGAGGGTTTCTGTGTGTGTGTGTGTGTGTGTGTGTGTGTGTGTGTGTCTGTGGGTTGAGGTGGAGGGTTTCTGTGTGTGTGTGTCTGTCTGTGGGTTGGGGTGGAGGGTTTCTGTGTGTGTGTGTGTGTGTGTGTGTGTGTGTGTGTGTCTGTGGGTTGAGGTGGAGGGTTTCTGTGTGTGTGTGTCTGTCTGTGGGTTGGGGTGGAGGGTTTCTGTGTGTGTGTGTGTGTGTGTGTGTGTGTGTGTGTGTCTGTGGGTTGAGGTGGAGGGTTTCTGTGTGTGTGTGTCTGTCTGTGGGTTGGGGTGGAGGGTTTCTGTGTGTGTGTGTGTGTGTGTGTGTGTGTGTGTGTGTCTGTGGGTTGAGGTGGAGGGTTTCTGTGTGTGTGTGTCTGTCTGTGGGTTGGGGTGGAGGGTTTCTGTGTGTGTGTGTGTGTGTGTGTGTGTGTGTGTGTGTCTGTGGGTTGAGGTGGAGGGTTTCTGTGTGTGTGTGTCTGTCTGTGGGTTGGGGTGGAGGGTTTCTGTGTGTGTGTGTGTGTGTGTGTGTGTGTGTGTGTGTCTGTGGGTTGAGGTGGAGGGTTTCTGTGTGTGTGTGTCTGTCTGTGGGTTGGGGTGGAGGGTTTCTGTGTGTGTGTGTGTGTGTGTGTGTGTGTGTGTGTGTCTGTGGGTTGGGGTGGAGGGTTTGTGTGTGTGTGTGTGTGTGTGTGTGTGTGTGTGTGTGTGTGTCTGTGTCTGTGGGTTGGGGTGGAGGTTTTCTTACGCTTCTTCCCCAGCCGCCAGAACACCCTTGAGCTCTGCGTCTCCTATAAAAACAGTTCCCTCAGGGGCCTCTCCTCACCCTGCGGCCACTTCACCACAGAGAAGCTGCAAAGAGCAACAGCCAAGTGGTCCCAAACCAGCCAGAGTGATCTGATTACACACTTCCCCCGAGAAATTCCCCAGAGTGGGGAGCTGCCTCACACCCCCCTCACCCGTTCATTACCAGAGGTCACTGGTGACCTCCGATCCTCACTCCCTCGCGATCCTGTGCGCCCACCAGCCTGACCACAGCCCTCCTCCCACTGAGCGCACAGCCTGTCATCACTTCTGTCTCAGGCCCAATCACAATCACCAAGGGCAGCATCTTGACTAATCTAATGGGCACTTCCCTTGACCACTGGATTTTTAACTTGCTCTTCTACTGACCTCTCAGTACCACGCCTTCCATTTAAAGTTTGTGTCTCTGAGGACACCCACTCCTGTTTCTCCCCTCCCCCCGGCCATCCTTCTCGGGCTCGATAAATGCTGGCGAGCCCAGGAGCTGTCCTCGGCCCTCTCCCTTCTTTGGCTACACCCTCTACCCAGCTGGCCTCACCCGGTCTCATAACTCTAAGCACCGGCAATAAGCCAACCACTGTCAAATCGGCAGCTGCAGCTCTGCTCTCTCTCCACAACTCCACTCACCTCCAGCTGCCCACTTCCTACCTCTGCATGAATGTCCAAAAGATAACTTCAATCGAACTTTTTCAAAAAAGAACTTTTGCTTCCAGCATCTCACTGGCTTCTCGCCCAGGATCTGGCATCTCTGTTGCCTCGTTGGTTAGGCCCAACACTGTGGATGTACCTTTGCTCTCTCTTCCTCCTCTTCACGCCCGATCCTTTACAGAGTTCTGTGCACCCTTCTCTACAACAGCGGCTCTCAGAGCGTGGTCCTCACCAAGAGCATCACATGAACACATAGAAATGTAAACTCTCACTCCCATCCCACGACCCACGGATCAGGAGTGGGGCTCGGCCACCTGTTTAACATGCCCTGTAAGTGACCGTGCACACTGAGGTGCGAGAACCACTGCTCTAAGACACCTGTTCAATTACCTATTCAAAACATATCTCCAGCCCTGGCCAGTGGTTAGAGCATCATCCCGTGCACCAAAGGGTTGTGGGTTCAATTCCCAGTCAGGGCACATATCCAGGTTGTGGGTTCAATTCCCGGTTAAGGGACGCACAGAAGGAGGCAACCAATCGATGTTTCTCTCTCACATCCATGTTTCTCTCTCTCCCCACTCCTCTCTCTAGAATCAATGAAGAAGAAAAGCACATCTCCAGTTATCTATTTTCTTTCCATCTCCATGACTACCATCTGAATCCAAGCTCCCATCAGCTCTCACCTGACCCGCCTTGACAACCTCTTAGCTACCCCCGTCTGCACCTGCCTCCTTACAAGCCAGTCTCCACACAACAGCCAAAGTGAGCTTTTAAAACACTGAAGCAGGTCTTGTCACTGCCCTGCTTATGCCCCTCCTTGAACTTCACACTACACAGAGAGTAAAAGCTACCCCTTCTGCTGTTGCTCTCGCCAACCCCGCCCTAGTCTACCCTTTCACCTCCACCTCACTGACCCTCTGCGGTCACAACGGCTGGTTCAGCTCCTCAGGCATGCCACAGCTGTGCTCGGAAGCCCCCTGCACTATATTCTCTCTTTGCTGGGGAGCTCCTCCACCCACGCACCCCACCTTCACCACGGATAGCTGAGCACTGGAGGGACCTTTCCTAACCAATCTACTCCAGCCCCCAGTGGTCATCTACGTGTTGCTCTACTTCCCCTCTTTACACGCACGATCGGACTTCTGACTTAGTCCTTCTGTATCCCCTCTATAGACTGTCAACTCCGAGCGGACCTGTCTGTCCTGCCAACGGCTGGGCTTCAGTGGAGCAGTGCCTGCGCGCAGCAGGTGTCCCATAAATACTTGTTGAATGAATAAGTGTTGTACTTACTTTTTTAAAAAAAAACACAATATGTACATATAATGAATCACTACACAGCGTATCTGAACCTAATATAATGTTATGTGTCAATTTAAAATGAATGAATAAGCCCTGGCTGTGGCTCGGTTGGTTAGAGGTTGTCCGGGTGCACCTGGGATGTGGGCTCGACCCCTGGGTCAGGGCACCTGCGAGAATCAACCCATGAGAGCACAGATAAGTGGAACAACAAATCGATGTCTCTCTCTCTAAAAACCTATCAATAAAATTTTTTTAATTAAAAAGAATAAATACCAAAAAAAAGCAGAAACTTGCTCCTTCAACAGACTGGAGCCAAAGAAGAGGATGGCGGCCTTGAGCCTGCTTTTCTCTAATCTTCAGAAATCTGTCTGCCAAGCCTGAAATTTTACCTGCAGTCTAACCCCAACTCCTCCAGCTGTGTTAGCCATGTTTGAAGGCAAAAAGCTCCAGGTTTGGCAGGAGCTCCTATCCCAGACTGACAAGGGAAGGCAAAAACGCTCCGAAGAACTGCATTAGAGAGCACAGGGTGGCAGGGGGTATGGGGTGCCCACAACTACCAGGTCGTTGGCATGAAAGGCTTGAAGATAAATCAGAGGCAAAGCCACAAAGTTTCCTTTAGAGCTAAGATTTGGGATGTGTGGAAGAAAGAAAAGAGCATAGTTCGGGTGTCTGGGAGGTGCTTCGGGAAGTCTGACTTTGTTCCCTCACCATTCTCAAGGACACTGAGTGCTTAGAAATCTTGTCCAAGGCAAGGAAATTGGCTAAGGAAGGGATCACAGAACCCTGCTGCCCTTTCAAAGTCTCCCTCTCAGGTTCCCAACTCCCACTAATCCGCACCCTCCCTCTCCCTGTCTCTTTCACAGCCAGCCCCCTCCCGCAGAGCAAGAGAGAACTGGAGAGGAGTCCCCTCCTAGGAGGAGGATGGCCCCACCCACATACAGGAAGCACACATTCCTGCCTGCTGGCACCCTGCATATTTGCACCAGGGACAGCTAGAGATGGACTCAGCTAATGTTTGTGCGTTGCACACATATATGCGGTGTGCACACACGAGGGACTGGTAGTGCCAGGGCCCTTGAAATGTCACCAGAACAGAGGCCACTGGATTATCCTGAGAAACACTGCCCTACCTCAACACACCCCCACTCTGTGCATCCCATTTCTTCTTTGGGGAGAGCCTGCCTCTCAGACTGACACTGCCCCTCTTGCTGTGGCTGATACCCATTTGGGGGCATAGAGACGGGCAGGCATCTTACCACCTTCACCCCAAATGGGAATAATACTAAATGGGCACACAAAGATGGGGATTGGATCATTCAGTGTCAAAGAGCACCGACTTTTCAGAGGGAGGAGATCTCAGAATGGAGAAATGAAATGGTGCAAGGAGATTGGATATGGAAAGAAGGACTTCCTAGAAAAGGACTAAACTTATTTGAAACTTTTTATTGTAAAATAAAATACAGATGCAGAAAACCACTTAAAATAAATGCATAGCTTACTGAGTTATTTTAAAACACCACTTACCCCACCACACACATCATAGAACTTTGCTGGCCACAGTAGCAGCCTTTCCAGGTCTCTCATCCCAATCACAGCTGCCTTCTTCCAAACAAAAGTGGCCACTTTCTTGATGTTGATGATATTTTCCTTATTTTGTTTATGATTTTATCATCCATATGTGCATCCCTGTCTGCCATAGTTTAAAATTCCTTTTTTTATTTTATACCTAGAGGCCCGGTGCACATTTCATACACATTGAAAGTAAATTAATCAGAAGGTGGCTGTCAGGACAGGACTGGGCAAGATGGGCTGGATACGCCCAGGAGCCAACCTCCAGCGGTCCCTCCCTGGATGGCCGCACCTGGAGCAGCACCTGGGCTCAAAGGGCATCTGTGAAGTGAGTGGGGTCCCTCCAGCAGGTGGGGTCCCTCCGCCTGGCCTGTGAGGATCAGGCCAAAACCAGCAGTCCCACATCCCCTGAGGGGTCCTGGAGTGCGAGAGGGCACTCTGCAAAATTGCTGTCACTCAGAAGCTCCTGCATTGAGCGTCTGCACCCTGGTGGTCAGTGCAAGTCATAGCTACCAGCCGGCTGCTTAGGCTTATATATATTCTAGAAGCCTGGTGCACAAAATTAGTGCACTCAGGGGGTCCATCAGCCCGGCCTGCACCCTCTCACAGTCCAGGAGCCCTTGGGGGATGTCTGACTGATAGCTTAGGACCATTCTGAGTGGAGAACGGGCCTAAGCCATCAGTTGGACATCCTTAGTGCTGCCACGGAGGCGGAACAGGCTCCCACCACGACCGCCTCTGCGCTTGCCAGCTGTGAGCCCAGCTTCTGGCTGAGCAGTGCTCCCTCTATGGGAGTGCACTGATCACCAGGGGGCAGCTCCTGCATCTGCACACTGGTGGTCTTTGTGTGTCATAGCCACCGGTTATTCCACCGTTCAGTCAATTTGCATATTAGCCTTTTATTATATAGGACATATATACACTAGTGGCCCAGTGCATGAAATTTGTGCACGAAGGGATGCGGGTTCCCTCAGCCCAGCCTGCACCCTCTTCAATCGGGGACCTCTTGGGCAATGTCCTAAATCAGCAGTCAGACATCCCTTTTGCAATCTGAGCCCGCTGGCTCCTAACCGCTCACCTGCCTGCCTGGTCAACCCTAACTGCCTCTGCCTGCCTGCCTGATTGCCCTTAACCCCTCTGTCTGCCTGCCTGATCACCTCTAACTTCTCTGCCTGCCTGCCTGCCTGATCGCCCCTAACTGCCTTCCCCTGAAGGCCTGATCTCGCCCCCAACTGTCTCTGTGAGCCAGATCACCTCTAACTGCCCTCCCCTGCTGGCCTTATCTGCCCCCAACTGCCCTCCCCTGCAAGCCTCATCTTGCCAACAATTTCCCTCCTCTGATGGCCAATTTGGTTCTGATTGGTTGGTTTCTATGCCAGTCAGCGTCAAAAGCTCTGCCTCTGAGGAAGCCATTGGCTCCTCACAGTTCACCCAGATTTGTTCTGATTGGCCAGTTTCTATGCCAGTCAGCATTAAAAGCTCCACCTCCTAGGCAGCCATTGACTTCTCACACTTCACCCAGATTTGGTTCTGATTGGTCGGTTTCTATGCCAGTCAGTGTCTCTGGGCCTATCAACAAAGCCTGATCAGAAAGATAGGGCTGATCAGCAGCCCTAGTGCAGGCCTCGAGGGAATGACGGAGGCAGTTGCTGATCAACACTGCCACATAGTCTATGGATGAGACCCTGCTTCTCTCTTCAGGCCTATTTCCAGGCCTGATTCACAGTCCCCTCAGCAGTCAGTGCTGGGTGACCGCTCCTGCAGCCATAGCAGTCGGTGCTGGTCACCAGTCCTGCAGCCATATCAGTCAGTGCTGGGTCACCACAGCAACCCAGCTTTTACTGCAGGACTGACTTCCAGTTGGTCGACCCTCTGGTCATGACAGACCCAGGGTTTTTATATATTAGAACTGGAGGTTGGTGCACAAAATTCGTGCACTGGGGGTGTCCCTCAGCCCAGTTTGCTCCCTCTCCAATCTGGGACCTCTCAAGGGATGTCTGACTGCAGATAGTTGGACATCCCTC